AGGTCCCGTGAAATGATGCGAAAGGGCCTGCCCGACCCCGCCCTGGCCGCGCCGGCGCCGCCCGCAGCGAGACATCATCAATCGCGCTCCTGACCCAGACCGCCGGGGTGGCTCGAGCAGCCTTGGGAAGAGTTCTTAAATGGAGGAGACGCGCAAGGGGTGTCGAGCCTGGGCGCCCCGCTACAACCGCGCCGCTAGGGTTGACCACTCGGCCGATCGCCCCCTGCCAAATCGCGCGACGAGGCGCGCGATGCCTGGCGCAGTGGCCCTGAAGCAACTGCAAGGGGAGGCCAGCGTGCCTTGCTGCGCCCAGCAGCTCATCGCGTGGAACATGCTCGTAAAACTTCCGCATGTCAATGCAGAGCGCACTCGTCCCAATTCCTGGCGCGCCGCGCGCGTAGGCCGCGGGCGCATTGCGCGCCCGCGCCCTCGTCGCACGCTGCGCTGGCGCTCATGCCCCGGGAAAGCTGCTCGTCAACTGGGCGTTCCCATTCAGAACGCAGCTCGCGGCGGGTTCTGCCCCGTGCTCTGGCCCGGAGCGGCAGGGGCCCGATGGGCCGCCCACCCCCCTGGGGCCTCGCTGAGAAAAACAGCTCGCAAGCCGCGGGGGCCCCGTGGAAGGGCACCGCTCCCCTGCCGAGAGGATGGCCGCGAGGGATTCCACCAGCGGCCTGTGTAGCAGCGGCAGTAAGCGCGGGCTGAAAGCGCCCCGGCCTAGCCCTGTGACAGGGCTGAAAGACGACGCTGCGTCGAGCGCCTGCTCGGCCGGGATGGGCTGCGAGCGCCCTCGAGCAGGCCGCTGCGATGGCGGGGCTTCTCTGTCCTCCGCAAGAAGGGCATCCGCCCGTTAGAGTCTCGCCCAAATCCGCTTGACCGACCAAGGGCGCGGGGGCGCTGGCGGCCCCCCTGGCCCCCCCTGCGTCGGCGAAGACGGGCAGGGGCGGAGTGGCGGGTCTCCTTGGAATGCTTGCGCGCCGCCCGCCCGCCCGCTCCAAGGAAGCCCGGGCCCCAGGCCTCCGTCTCTGGCAACCCCTCGACGCCTGGGGCCGCTCCCTGCGCGTGACCTCATCCTGGGCGGGGGCCGCCAGTAGCCTTCTCGCTGCCGCATCTGGGAGGCTGAAAATGGGCAGCGGTCGAGGGCCGCTAAAATGACAGCCGGAGGCTCTGCCGCCCGCCGCCGACGTTGCTCGTCAGTCTTCGGCGTCGATTACTGCAGCGCCAAGCAGCGAAGCGACGGCGGCTTCTGAGCGGTCCATTTGGAGCGCCGGCGCAGCTCTTGGCCCCGGGCCTCTTGGGGCGGCGCGCGCTGCAAGTGGCGCCCGTTGGAACGCCCCGACGACTGCAGACCCGAAGGGCCCTGGACCTCGCGGAAGGCCTTCTCGGAAGCATCGATGCACCTGGCGGCCGCCACCGGGGTTCCTGGCTAGGAAAATCGGGACCGTCCCATGAGCCAAACAAAAACGACCGACTCCTTCTCCCAAGGGGCTGGGGAGCCTTCAGCGCCGCTCTCTTCCGGATCCTGGCCAGTCCTGCAATGTCGCGCAGTCGGCGCGCCCTGGCTGAGCGGGGGCCGACTGGCGCGTCGCAGACAGACGCGCGGGGCTCCGCCCGGGGGCCCAGACGACTGCTCAGCGCGACCAAATCGAAGCACTTGTCGTGACATGTTGGCCCGGCAGGGCGAAAAGTGCTGGCGCCGAGACGGCCGATCTACTGTGCCTGGCAAAAGTTCTCCGCATCTATGTTCCAATTGCCTGCAACAATAAAGGGTAGCGCAGAAGCCACCGCCAATTCACTCACGTGGTCCAAAACTCCAAGTTTGCGTCGGCAAGGCCCTGCATGGGGTGGCCGTGGACCGACGCTGACAGAAGCGCTGGGGGCTTGGGCAAAACATGCCCACGCGACGCGCCTGGCCGCAAGCCTCTCGGGCGAGTGGGCATGGCCCAATACGGTCGAGCCGAAGTGCGCTTCGATGGGGGGCGCCGCGCCTCCTGGGCCCCCTCCGGCGCCGACCCCCGCGCGTGCTGCAGGGCTCAGAGAGGGTGAGTGCCCGGCCCTATGCGCCCACCGACATGGCGCTGCAATCTGCGCTACAGGAGGCGGCGCTGTTTGGACAAGATGCTGCCGCGCGCGGTGGACTTAGCCCCCTTGTTCCACCCCGGAACTTCTACGCCCGTGGCCCAGGCGTTCGAAGAATAAGTGGCCGAGGAGAGGCCGACTTGCTGCGCGCGCGACATTGGCTCTGCCTGGCGCCGCGACGAAGCTCTGGGAGGAGTCGCGAACCAGGGGCAACGACTGCCCGCGCATGCGCGGCCCCGGCGCGCGGCTGGGCCTGGCGGAGGGCATCGGCCGCCCGCGCATCTGCGGCCCCCCTCGCGAGCCCGCGACTCGCCCCCATCGGGGTCTGCCCTTGGTCGCTGCCGACTGGCCCTCCGAGGGCGGGCTCGCGCTCCGGGAAGGCCGCGCCTGACTTGGCAAGACTTGGCCTCGGTATCGGCGCGTCCAGCAACCTCCAGAACATGGGCTTTCCCGCATAGTCAGTCTCGCGCCGCGATAAGGCGGTCTGGGGGTCGCGCGCGCGCGGGGCATCGGCGACCCGTTCGTTTGCGGCCTTCCGCTCGAGCCCGCCACTCGCCCGATCTGGGGCCTGCCCTGAGCAGCAGCCGAAGGGCCCCCGAGGGCGAGTGCGCTCCCCCGTGCGGCCGCCTGCCTTGGCCTCGGCCCTCGTCTGTCCACCATTGCCCTAGGCGTGTCCGCCAGCCTGTCCAGCCGCCCCCAGTGTCCATCGGTGAACGCATGCCCGAATGGCTGGGTCAACGGCGCCATGGAGCTGTGAAAGCGGCCGCGTCGATGTTGCCCGCGCTGCCGGGCCTCTCGGCAAGCTTCGCGCGTCGCCTCTCGCGAAGAATCTGCTGGGCTGAAGCGCCGGGCGACGCCCCGGGCCCCGTCTCAGCGGCGCCGCGCCCGCCTGACTAAGCACCTCAAACAGAACATGTGCGCGCAGGCCTTGCCGAGACTGCGTGCCAATCCGCATCTCGCTTTGCGCCGTCCGCGCCCGCCGCCCACTCCAAGGCGCCGGGCCGCGCATCCAGGAACGGCGGGCTCGATGCCCCGCCTCCTCTGGCCGGGGCGGAGGCGGGGCATTTGGCGGCGGAAGGCCCGCGAGGCTAAGATCGCCCCTCAGCTTGCCGAGAAAAGGGTCGATCGAAGCTCGTCAAAGCTGCCGCCCAGGTCTCTTGGCCCGCAAAGCCTCTCGCACATGGTCAATGGCTGCCCGTGCCTCTGCGTCGCCCGGCCCAGGGGCGATCCCGCCTGCGCCCCCCCGGGGCCGCGTGGCCGGCGGCGGGGGCGGCGGCGGGCAGAGTCGCAGTCTGCGTGGCGCCGCGACCAGGCGAGCTGCCTCCGCCGTAGCCCCCGCCAGCCTGCGCCCCCGGCGCCGCGAGCTCGTCCGCGACCCCTCTGGCGTCGCCCCGACGGGCTCGCTTCGCCGAGAAGCGCTGGCGCATCTGGCGAGCTTCCTTCCGCCAGCGCTGGATGTCGCCTGCCGTCGGTCCGATGGCCGAGAGGATGGCGGCGCGCAGCCCCTTGCCGATGTTGGCCTTCAGCTCGGCCCGTCGCGGCTCGTCCTCTTCCCCCGCCTCCAGGTCGGCGACGTCGCTGTCCACGATCTCGACCGCGTCGACGGACTCCGCGCTGAGAGTCTGGGAGACGGTGGTCTACGAAGACCCAGCGGCGCCGCCGCTTGAGGTTGCGCTGCGGCCTCCCTGCTGGGGGCCCGCCCGCCCGCCTTGGCGAGCTCCGTCGCGCCTACTTCTGCGCCGTGGGTGCCTCCGCTGCTGCAGCGGCCGCCGCAGCTGTCGCCCCCTCGCGCTCGTCGAGCCTGCGCTGCGCCTCGCCCTCCCTGTCCGCGCAACCTTGGGGCCGCGCCCGCGCCTTGCGGCGCGCCGCGCTCCTGGCCGAGATGGGGGCCTCGAGCAGCTGCCGCTGTGGCCGCGGCGCTTGGACCTGCAGCGGCCCCGAGGCCCCGCCCAGCGCCTGGAGCTCCGCCCAGCCTGCGCCGCCGGGCCCGGCGCGAGCCTTGAGCTGCGCCGGGATGTCGGGCGCGGCCCCCAGCAGCCAGGTGCCTGGCGGGGCGGGCGGCGACTGGGGCGCCGAACTTCCTGCGGCTCGGACCGAGGAACCTGGGCCAGGCGGCGACCGCGCCCCCTGACCCTCGCGCCTCGAGACCCCCTGGGAGAGGAGCGCGGCTCCGCGCTTGGAGCAGAAAAACTTGGACTCCCACGCCCGCCTGCGCCGATGCGCCGAGCACGCGATGCAGTGGTTCTCGGGGCCGGGCATTCCCATGGGCCCCGTTCGGAGTTCGCGGGGGGAACGAACGCAGACGGATGCCGGGATGGGGATATCTGCTCCTGCCACAGGCTCGCCGCGAATAAAACCTGAAACCGTGGTCAAGGGGCGCTGGTGGGGGTGCACTTCCCTCTTGCCGCTTCTCAAATATTTGACCCCCCTTGTCCCGGACTTGAGACTTGAACCAAAGCGGCGACGGATGGGGGGGGGGTGGGGGGGGCGGGGGGGGGGGGGCAAGCTAGGTGCGCTCGCGTCACATCTGACATCCTACTACCCCTCCCTCCTATCCCTTACCATGGCGCAGATCATCCCCTCTACTCGCACAGTCGGGTGTCGAGCAGGGCAATGATCCCGAAAAGGGTACGCGATGCATTGTAGAGCACGGCGTGGCATGGCGTAGAAGAGCACCGCGAAGCGTAGTATGAACCCAGCATTGCGAGGAGGAGGGGGGGGGAGAGGAGGAGGAGGAGGAGGGGGAGGAGGAAGAGGAGGAGGAGGAGGAGCAGGAGGAGGAGGAGGAGGAGGAGGAGGAGGAGGAGGAGGAGGAGGAGGAGGAGGGGAGGAGAGGAGGACGACGACGACGACGACGAATACTGGGAAGGAGAAGAGGGGGGGGGAGGAGGGGGAGGAGGGGGGGAGGAGGAGAAACGGTTAATTTGACCAGATGCCAAGTCGGGGCCCGCAGCGCAGGCAGGAAGAACTAACACCGCGCGCGGCACCGAAGTCCCGCGTGCGACTTTCACTCCCGCAGGACTCTGCTGCAGCCTCCTCCTGGGGACTGATGTCTGGTAGAGCTGCGCTGGCACCGACGCCGTCCAACTGCCGATCGTGGCCGCGCGGCCGCCGCCCCGCGCGCTCGCCACGAGGAGGAGGGGGGGGGCGGGGCGGCCACCGACGGCCCGATCAGGCCGTCCGCAGCTGGTCCTTGAAGGCCCGCTGGAACTCCTCGACGAGGCCTGCGTCGACGATGACACCGATGGCCGCGTCGCGGCAAAACGCAGCCTGCTCCAGCAGGGCCTTCGCGTCGCCCTCGGGGCAACTGTGCATGCCTTCCACGACCTCGTGCCCCTCCGTCATGGCCGAAACGGAAAAGGAGATCTCCACCTCACCGCTATCCTGGAGCTTTTCCGCCATGCCTCGCGGCTGATCTTGCGCCCAGGGCACGTTGATCTTCCCCAGCTCGTCGTCGACCTGGGCCATCGAGAAGTAACCGTCCGTCTTCTTGCTGGTGAGCACCGCAAAGATCTCTTTCCCAAAGTCAGCGTTGCTGGGCGCGCCGGCCGTCTGCGACAGCTCGCGCATGGCGTCCATGAACTCGACGGCCTGCACCAGCCCGAAAGCAGGCTCCTTCAGGGAGGCGCCACTGTAGGCTTCGCCCGTCATTATCTGGTTCGCCTCCAACAACTTGAAGACGTCGTTGAGCAACACCTTCATGGGCACTAGGTCGTCGACCGACCCGTCGTGGATGCCCGTGATCGCCTTCCCGATGGGCTCGATCTCCTGAACTCTGAGCGCTGACACCAAGAAGGAGTTGTCACCATCGTCGACCTTTGAGACCGACGAGCTGCCCGTCTTGATGGCGCGCCTGCTGCTCTGTCGCTGGGGTTTCTTCGCCTCGCGCCCCGACTTGTGGAGCGACTCGGCCCCTTCGCCGAACAGATCATGTTCACCAGCGTTGCGCATCGCCTTGTCGCCGCCGTCCACACATGGAACCCTGTCCTGGGCCGCTGCCGCGACCTTCGCTTTCAGGACGGGCTGGATGCGCTGGGCGCGCGCCTGGACCTCCGCCTCAATCTCCTTGTCCTCAAGAGCGGCGCCGGACGCCTCAGCCCAGCCGGCACGCCAGAGGCCGATCGCCACAGCCGCCACGACCTGGCGCGAGTCGCCACCACGAACCACCACCTCGAAGGGAATTGACGCCATCGGCTGGGCCATGACCACGGCGCGCCAAGAAACGGGGTTTCAAAGCATGGCTTGAGCCCAAATGGCGACGGAGGAAGACGAGGAAGAGGAAGAGGAGGAGGAGGAGGATGAGGAGGAGGAAGAGGGGGAAGAGGAGGAGGAGGAGGACCAGTGTAAACCGACGGCCCATCAGCGATATTGCAATCGATCCTCCCTCCAACTTCCCTCTCCATAAGCTCCTACACGGGCTCATGCTAAGTTAGGGGAATACCCCGTCGGAAGACAACCGCTTGAACATCTGGAATTCTGCCAGAACGCCATCCGTGGGACTTCAACGCCGCGAATCACCGTTGTTCTTGCGTCTTGACGGCGCTGAACCGTGCCAAAACACGTTTCTTAGGATTGCAACACTGCGAATCCACGTGATTGTCGCGCCCTGACATTCTGGCATCGTGCCGAAACACCATTTCTGGGGCGCTCACCACGAAACCGCTTGAAACGCCTGCAAACTCTTAAGACGAATGTGCGCGGCGTCAAAGCGAGAACCACACTTTAAACAGGAGCCAGCCTCCACCCGCGAAGCTCTTGCAAACTAAAAATTATCCGACCCTTCCTAGGAGCTGGAGCCTCTAGGAAAGCAACATTAGTGGGAGCGGTAAACGCCGTCCTCCTGCTTCTCCTCATCGTCGTACTTGTAGCAGTAGCGGTAGTAGTAGTAGTAGTAGTAGTAGTAGTAGTAGTAGTAGTAGTAGTAGTCGTAGTAATAGTAGTAGTAGTAGTAGTAGTAGTAGTAGTAGTAGTAGTAGTAGTAGTAGTAGTAGTAGTAGTAGTAGTAGTAGTAGTAGTAGTAGTAGTAGTAGTAGTAGTAGTAGTAGTAGTAGTACTAGTAGTAGTAGTAGTAGTAGTAGTAGTAGTAGTAGTAGTAGTAGTAGTAGTAGTAGTAGTAGGTAGTAGTAGTAGCAGTAATCGTAGTAGTAGTAGTAGTAGTAGTAGTAGTCGTCGTCGTCGTCGTCGTCGTCGTCGTCGTCGTCGTCGTCGTCGTCGTCGTCGTCGTCGTCGTCGTGTAGTAGTAGTAGTAGTAGTAGTAGTAGTAGTAGTAGTAGAGTAGTAGTCGTAGTAGTAGTCGTAGTAGTAGTAGTAGTAGTAGTAGTAGTAGTAGTAGTAGTCGTAGTAGTAGTAGTAGTAGTAGTAGTAGTAGTAGTAGTAGTAGTAGTAGTAGTAGTAGTAGTAGTAGTAGTAGTAGTAGTATAGTAGTAGGTAGTAGTAGTAGTAGTAGTAGTAGTAGTAGTCGTCGTAGTAGTAGTAATAGTAGTAGTAGTAGTAGCAGTAGTAGTAGGAGTAGTAGTAGTAATAGCGCCAGAACCACCGACGCCACGCCGTAAGTGAAGCAGCAGCAGAAGCAGGCAATACATCGCCGAGACAGCAGCAACATGTCTGCTATGCTATGATATGCTATGCTATGCTATGCTATGCTGCGCAATGCTATGCTGGGCTAGGCTAGGCTAGGCTATGCTACGCTATGCTATGCTGCGCTATGCTATGCTATGCTTTTGCTTTGCCTTCGCGTTAGCCTTTGCTTTTGCTTTTGCTTGGCTCCCAGGGGGCGCAACTGGGGGAACCGCGCGCTTGCTTTTACCTTTGCTGTTGCTGTTGCTTGGCTCCCAAAGGACCGGGGGAACCGCCCGGGGCGGTTTCCACTGCCCGGCCCCTTTAAGCCAACAGAGTAAGAACCCTTCTGGGCAGAGCCTAGGTAGGGGAAAAAAACGATGTGCGCGGAGCTAAAACGAAAACCACATTTTCAGAACGGGCCGCCTCCCATCCGTGAAATTCTTTGCACTTGTGAAAGCGAGTGTGCGCACTTGTGGTCGGGCGCCTTAAGGACTTGGGACTGTGCATGGAAGCGGGTTGAGAAGAAACTTCCTCCATCACCTCTTTTTTGGGGCATTCGCGGCGCCATCTCGCCGTCACCGCCGGAGCAACCTCGAAATCTTGGTCAGAACGATCTCCACGAAAGGTCAGGAATCGATTGTAAGGTGGAGACGGTGGCGGAGGAGGGGAAGGGTGATGGAAGGGAGGAGGAGGAGGTGGAGGAGGACTGATCGGATCATGGTGATCAAGATGTAGAGGGGGAAGTGGAGGAGGGAGGAGGACGAGGAGGAGAAGGAGGTGGGGGAAGAGGACGAGAAGGAAGACGTGGCAGGGGCGGGGACGAGGAGGGGGGCAAGCAGGAGAAGCCAGGCCTTTGAGTAGGGGGCCCCCAGAGGGTAAACATTCGAGGTTTCCCGGGGGCTTTCAACGTTCTGAGAAGGTCACGCACTTGCAAGTGCTCTAGGCGCCACCCCGCCGCTCGGGGAGGGCACAGGCCCAAAGCCGCAGGAGGAGGGGGGAGGAGGAGGAGGAGGAGGAGAAGGAGGAGGAGGAGGAGGATCATGAGGAGGAGGAGGAGGAGGGAGAGCTGAAGGAGGAGGAGGAGGAGGACTAATAAGAAGAGAGATGGAGAGATGAAGAAGACGTGGAACATGCCCTCAGGTCTCGCGCCACACGTCTCCGGAGACTCCACGACACGTGCACACACACGCACACGCACATACGCGTACACTCCTCCTTCTCCGACGCGCTAAATCTACTCCGAAGCGTTACGCCAACGTCCACTAGGCTTGCGGGACGCGCGAACTGATTTGCATTAGCACACGTTTGTGAGCACACACGCGCATGTTCTTTCTTCCCCTGGCGCTGTCAGTCACGAGCGCGTGGTACCCTACCAGGATGCACTAACGTGAGCTGCAAACACGCTCATGTCGAATACGCTCAAACCTAAGCCGAAATATCCCAGGTTAGGGGCAGGCGACGACAAGCAAAATGGGTAGGCATGCGTAAATACACGCACACATGCGCGCACAAGCACGCGCACGCGCGCGCGCGCGAACTCACACACACTTACGTACTTATACACATATGCACACTTACGTGCGCGCGCGCGCTCACCCGCACGCATCTGCACGCGCATGCGCATACGCGCGTGTGGGCGAACGGGCGCAAGGAGTTGCTGTCCTCGAGTACGGCGATGGATCGCAATCGCCAGGACAGATAAGACGGGGCGCGTTCAATACCACGCGAGCAAGCATGAACGCGCAAAATACGCGCGGACGTACGCACACGCATGCACTTTTTCTCCCAAAGCGATGTGCCACCACAGCCGTGATGGAATAACGGCTGTTGCGTCAAGATTAGATGCACACGCGCATGCGCACGCATAGCTTTCCCGCGCCAGCCAGGTGGCGTCACCGTAGCGAGTGGGAGCAAGCGGCGCGAGCTATCGCGAGATTTCCGCTAGGCGCTGCACGTGGAGAGCAGCGCAGGGGAAGGCGGTGTGCAGGGCGAAACACCCAGCTCAGTGGGTGGGCGCGCGAGGCCTGGCGCGATCAGAGGCGTGCAGAAGTGCACAGGCCCCAGGACAAGACGGCGCAGTGGGCAGGGGCGACGCGAATGCACAAGCACACACACACACTGATGTTTCAGCGTCCGCGGCCCAGGGAGTTCCCAACAAATGGGCCCCACCGCATTGACCAATGCATGCTGACTTGGAGGAACGACAAACCGCTTAGGGCTCAAGACAAGCTCAGACGGTCGTACAATATACTAGGGACATGCCCCGAGACGAGTCCCACGTATACTCGGGAGCAAGTGCGCGCACACCAGCACACGTAAGCACACACACACACGCGCGCTCGCGCACGCGCGCTTGCGAATGTTGGGTTCCCCTTGCAGAATTGTGCCAACGGCTGGCTGAAAAGCAACGGAACAAAACGAACCGCGACCGTGCGTGTGATCACCGCGCTCAAGCTAAGCCCTTGCTCTCCTGGGCTAGAGGCGAGCCGAGGCGAGCAGTGCAGTGCAGCAGCGGCGAACGAGTTGCGCAGTGGACCATGCGGGAAAGACAGACGCAAGAGCCACGCGCCGCACCCAGCGAGCCGAGAAACGAAGCAAAACCGCAAGGCGCCGGCGCCCCAAGGAAAACCTAGAAATCCACCAGGCTGAGGAAAAGGAAATTTGGAAACACGGCGAGGGCGACGAGAAAGCCGGGCACAACCCCTGAAGCGCAGCAGAGCCGGATGGCGTGCAGACGCAAGAGGGCCGAGCACAACCCTGAGAAGCGCAGCACAGACGGGTGGCGTGCGCAGGCGCGAAGGAGGGAGACAGATGGTACGACGAGGATGGCGATGAGAAGAACGACGCCAGCGTGGGCGCAGAGAAGAAGCGCCGAAGATCAGGATAGCCGCAATTGGCACAAGAGAGCGTGAACTGGCTCGGGCAGCCGAGATAGGCCGAGCCTGGAGAGTCGAGAGAGGGACAACGCCAGAAGAGCAGCCCCGAGCGCTGGGCGTCGACCAACCGAGAGGGGGATGAGAACGAGCAGCAACAAGAGCAGGAAGACGCGAGAGAGAGACCGACGCGGGCGAGACAACGTCAGCGACGGCAGCCGCGCGGAAAAGATGGCCCAGAGTGCAGGAAGGACGAAGCGCGCCCAGGCCGCGGGGGCCGACAGGCCCGCCGGGGGAAGCGAAGCCTGGGCTCCAGGTGCTGCGGTACTCTTGCAAGTCCTACGCCAAAGCAGATGACGCGCACTTGCACGCGCACGCGCATCACACATGCACTCGCACACGCACGCGCTCGGACACGCACAAGCGTGCACACCTGCACCTGCACGGGTACCTCGACCTACAACTACATACGCATGCGCGCGACCACATCCACACATGCACGCGCATGCGATCGATTGTATGGGATGCGCAAGCATCTGTTTTGTATGATGCACAAGCGTGTCGCACATGCATGCTTCATTCGTGTCATCCCTGCCCTCTACCTCGTTCTCCTGCTTGTCCCCGTCGTCCATCTCATCCTTGCCGTCGTGGTGGCCCTCGTCCTCCTCACCCTCACCTCTGCCCTCGTCGTCCTGCCTCGTCTTTCTCCCCTCCGCTCTCGCCCCTCCTCTCTTCTCCCCTCCATTTTCCACGAGCACCTCGCGCTGCAAGGCCGGAGGGATCCCGACGCCTTGGTCGACCGAACTCCGTCGGGGGAACTCCTGTGCGACATCGTTGCCTTGGGTGCGCCTGCGGCGACGCCTGCAGACATCGACACTCCAAAGAGGGGGCCCTGAGACCTAGGGCTTTGGGGCGAGGAGGCCCTTGGCGATGCAAAGGCAACCTGGAGGCCACCCCCCATCCTCAGGACCCCGCCCCTCAGGGCCACACACCCGAACAACCGCCGAAGAGCATTCCCCGCCCCCCCACCCAGATCTCAGGCTTCCCTAAACGGAGACTTCGAGAATCCAGGACATTGGAGCGCCCCAAAAAACTGTAGCCATGGGTCGAAACATTCTCCATGCCATGTTTCATTCTCTCCAGGTGGACAACGAAAAGAAAGTGGTCTTACGCACGATGACATGGCGACCTTGCGCGGTGGCACACCGCGCGGAGAAGCGTGGAACACCGCGCGGAGAAGCGGGCGCTTACGCACGACCCTACGTGGGAAGCTTCCGCGCGCATGTCCGCGCAGTGGACCCCGTCTTCCCCTGTCGCTCGTGTGGCATTTTCATGGCCCTGGTGTGTGAGGTCCTGGCTTCGGGGGGCCCTGAAGCCCGGCCTCTCGGGCGTGGCCGGCTGGAGCACGCCGCGTGCTCACTGCACCTCGGCCCACGGGTTCGCCCAGCCCCCCGGCGGCGGCCCCGGCTCGCCGGCGGCGGCAACGGGGGCGCACGGCCCACCGGGGAGCACTGCAGGCGCCCAGGGGCCCCGAGCGCCGATCCCTTCGGCGAGGCTCCCCAGCGAGCGCGTGCAGTGCCCACCCCCGGACATCCGCCGATCTGATATCTGTCAACCCGCGGCCCCAGAACTCCCCTCGCCTTCCCCGGGGGGCAGTTTTGCGCCCCGGATCCAGTTTTGGTGGTGGTGGTGGTGGTGGTCGTCGTCGCCTTCGAAGTTGAGGAAGCACGCCAGGATGGGAACAGATCGTATCGTCGGATGTCTCGGCCAGCCGCCCCGCTTGCCCCCGCGCTGGCCGCACGCAATAGTGGCCCTATAGGCAGGAGGAACCTCTGGTGCGCGACTCTTTCGCGGGCCGCGGGAAGGCCAAATCCGAGCGCGCAGCACGCTGCTACTCGGAGGAGGAAAAGGTACCCATACTGTACCCTTCACTCGTTTCCTCCCTCTTTGGGCCTCCTGGGAGACCCTCGTCGCCACCGCTGGATTCGCCTCCAAATTCTGGCCATTACGCGCACCAGGAGAGGTCCGATGAGTATCGGTCTATTGGTATCGGTACTTTTCGGCTTCCCCAGATTTCGCATCGCGCTCAATCATCTGAGGACCCCAACGTACTGCACCAAAGGCCCCTCTGGCGAAAGGTCACTCTTACGTGTAGCCGACGAGGCTCACCCCCGCGCCCCTCGAAGCTCGAAGGCGGCGCTGAAGCCTGCAGCACCGCGGGGGCCGAGTGGTCCCGCCAGGACCCCTCGCGATCAGGCTCGCTCCTCGAGGCCTCCACAAATGGCGCCAAGCGGACAGGGTCTGAGGATCGCGCCGCACCGCCGATGCATCGGCTGGCGACGCATCGGCCAGCGACGCATCGGCGCCGTCGGCGTGGAGAACATCGGGCCCCACCTCGGGCCGCACCCGCGATGCCCCGGCGATGCGGCGCGCTCCTCGGACCCCCCATCTGCTCCGACCCCACCCGGGAGGCCCGGGGCTCCCCGACAGGGCCGCCGCCGCGCCCGCGCCCGCGCCCGGCGCGGCGAGCAGCTCGGCCTGGGCCGCAGCGCGCGGCCAGAGTGCGGCCGCGAGGCGGAGCGCGGCCACGCAGGCGCCGAGGCAGAGGATGGCCAGCCCCGCTGCGTCGGCCGCCGGGCTGCCATCTCCTTCGGACGAGGAAGGGGAGTGTAGCAAGGAAGGGGAAGGAAAGGAATAGGATCGTATAAAATCACCAAGAGAAAGAAGGCGAGGAATGGGTGCTGGGGGGGGGCTGTCCATAATATGTGTATATATATACATATGCACGATGACCAACCGCAGATCTTGTCCGAAACCGACAGCGGCTGCTGTTGGGCAGGCGAATTTGTGTCTCAACTGGACGACCATCGCGGCGACGCCGGCAGCGAATGCCGTTCTGAGCGGGCAAGAACCGCTGTTGGACTTTCGTACCCCCTTTGTTTCCGTTTACGCCGTACCCGCTTCGGTCCCCCGATCTCCGTCGCTGGCGCCCGGGTCGCTGAGGAAGCCCGCGGTCGCGAGGTAGCCACAGGCGATGAGCACCTGCGCGGCTTCGCTCTCGGCCCTTGTCGCTCTCGACCTCCGACGCTGTGCTTTTCCTCAGCCTGGGCGCTTCTCATCGGCTTCGGCCCTTGGGGCCGTTCTCGGGGCCGGGGGCCATCGATCGTCGACCCTGGGCGAAGCACTGCTCCCGGCGCCGGGGGCCATCGAGCGTCGACCCTGGGCGAAGCACTGCTCCCAGGGAGCGTGTCGGGAGCTCTGGGGCCGCAGCTTGAGCAAATCCCATCGGCGGATGTCAGGGTGCCAAGCTGGGGGAGGCCGAACAATACCCGTGACACGCTGCCGTGGGGAGCTCAGCAGCGTGTTGCTGTTAATCGGCGGCGAGCGAGGGGGGGGGGTGATAAGGACAAAGGCCCTCTCGGAAGGCGGTGGGACTTCTCAGGAGCCCTCGCGCCTTCCGAGCAGTTTTCGGTGTCTTCGGGGAAGGCTCAGGACACTTCTCCGAAAGGCGGGGCGACTTCCGAACCCTCTGAGAAGGCCCGCCTCCTCTCGCTGCCCTCCCGAGGCCCGCCGCCGAGTTGACGAAGCGCCAGGGCCTTCGGACGGAAACGACGGAGTAAGACATACGCCGACGGCCCCCCAGCGGCACCGTGCCATTGCTACTCCTCTCCCCCGCCGACGAGCTCTGCCCTCGGCCTCCGGGAGTCCATGGGGCGAGCGTTCGGGCGCTTTGGGCCCCTGCCGGGCCTCCCGAGGCCTTCCGAGATCTCCGCCGTCGTGGCGTGTTTTATGACGTGGGCCCCCAGAGGTCTGGACCACTTCCCAATAACCGATGTCTCATCCCGAATCGTTTCTTCACGGTCCTGGGGCCCGGTGAAGGACCCGGAGGCCGGAAGCAGTGACGAAACGTCCGTCGTAATCTTTGTCACGACGCAATGGTGTCTGGGTCGCGGGGGGACCTGCGGGGTGTCAGGACCCGGAACAACAGCAACAAACATCTTAGAGGCCTCCGAAATTCATGGCTTCCGAGCAGATAGGGTGGGAGGATCGCGCCGCATCGCTAATGCATCGGCGATGTATCGGCGATGCATCGGCGATGCATCGGCGACGTCGGCGTGAAGAACACCGGGCTCCACATCGCGCCGGTTTTTTGAAGATTGCGAGAGATTTGAACATTCGTTTTGAGAATCCAGATTTTCAGTCCCTGCAGTCGATCACGGCGCACTTCATGGTGCAATTCTCAGGGCTGTAGGTGCAGTACTTCGATCAAAACACTTCCGGGAACCGACGTCGCATAACACCCGAAAAATACAGTTTGCGAATTTTCAAGCTGACTCCGACACGGCCCGCTCCGCGCGAGGGGCCCGAATGCCTACCATTCGGCGGTGGACAAACCTCCCTTTAGTACACCTCCCCTTCGTGAAAGCGGCCTGGGACCGAAACCGACGGACCTGGACCCGCAAAAATGACGGCCGCGACGCCCTCTCGCGAACCGAAAACGGCCAATTCACTAATCGACGTGTCAGGGTAGGAGGTCTGTCCGCCCCCGAACCACGAGAGAGCACCCGCCGCGTCCGGTGGCGCAGCAGCCAGCGGCACGACGCGCACCAGCCCTCCTCCTCCGCGGCGGCGCGCCGCGGAAGCGCGCGCCGCGCCTCGCGCACCTCGAAGAGCGCGCCTCGGCAGGAGGGAGTGAATGGGGCCCTGGGACATACAAATAAATACACATCACGGATTCCCCATCTTTTCCCATACTTTCTCGGGTTTCTGTCCCCCCCCCCACTCCCCATATTTTTCAATATTTTCTGGGGAATCGACGATGAATTGTTTCTGTGTGTTTTTTTCCCTCCTGAAGGAGACGAGCCCCGAGGGGAGGCGGGCTCGGGACCCTGGGCGGAGGCCTCCCAGCTGGTGAATCAGAAGCCCAGACCCCCGACATCGTGACCTGTCATGACGTCGACCCCGAGAGGCTTCGACCCATTCCCCGGGACCGGCTTCTCCTCCCGAATCGCTTTCTGACGGTCCTGAGGCCCGGCGAGGCTCCCAAGAGGCCGAAGGTAGCGAGAAACCTCCCGTCGTGTTTTTTTCGCAGTGCGAGGAGGTCTGGGCGGAGGCCTCCCAATTGGGGTCGGTGGGTCTCGCTGCATCGCCGCCGTCGGCGTGGCGAAGATCGGGCTCCACGTCGAGCCGCATCGCCAATGCATCGGCGATGCGGCGCGATCCTCAGACCCCATCTGCTCGGACCCCATTTGGGAGGACTGGACTGTCACCCGGAATCGTTTCCTGATCCGGAAACCCGCCGAGAGGATGTTTTTTGGATCCGCGGCCCCAGGAAGGTCTCGACCAGGGCTCGAGCTAAACAGTGCTTTTCGTTTTCTTCTTGTGTTTGTCCTCCTTCGTTCTGTCGTCCTTCTGCCTTTGCTGCGAGACGAAATTGCTGCGAAACGAAATCACAAGGAGAACGGACCACGAGATCGCCAGAGCACCGCTCAGCTCGAGCCCTGCCGCCGAGATGCTGTCATTCGACCCGCGGCCCTGGAAAGGTCCCGACCCCTTCCACAGGGGCACTTTGGGGGGCCACATGCGAACCCTACCCCTACCCCCCACGATTTCTGAGGGGGAGGGTGGGGTTCACTTCGCTCGCCCTCCCCCCCTCAGAGATCGTGGGGGGTAGGGGTAGGGTTCGCATGAGGCCCCCTACATTTGTTCTCCCCCGGATCCGTTCTTGATGGGGACTGCGAGGGCCCCGTGAGGCCGAGAACGGCCAAAACCCCCCCCGGACCCGTTCGCTTCACGGCGGGTGCCGCAGCAGGCCAGCAGGACCAGCAGCAGGCCGGCCGAGAACTCCTGGACGAGCCTGTGGGCGCCGAGGAGGCGGAGGGAGAGGAGAGGAAGAGAGCGAGAGCGAGGCAGAACGTAGGAACGCGAGGATGAGGAAGCCGAAGCAAGCAAGGACGAGGAAGACACGCAAGGGGCAGGAGGAGAGCAAGGACGTCGTATTCCACGTGTGCGCTGGCATGAAGCTGCCGTGTGCACTCTTCCGGCTTGGGTGTCAGAACCTCCGGACGTCGAGGTGCCCGCCGTCTTCGCCCGCGGCCAGGGCGGCCGCCAGCCTCCAGTGGTACGCGGCGAAGGCGAGCACCGCCGCCCAGAAGACTCCCGCCAGCGTCGACGCGGCCACGAAGAGCGCGGGCGGGGCCATGCGACTCGGCGCTGGCACTCGCCGTGTGCGAGGGCGAGGGGAGACTCGGAGGGGAAACATATACTGATACCACTGCCTCTCCCTCGTCGCAACGGCTGGGTTCGCCTCGAAATCCTGGTCAGAACGCGCCCCTGGAGAGGTCCTGGGAGTAGCGGTATCAGTACCTTTTCTGTCTCCGTGCGAACTCAGATTTCCGACGATATGATCTCTTCAATCCAAGCGTTTTTCCTCGATCTCGGCCCCCAGGCCCGGGGGCTAACAGAAATGGGTTCGGGAGAAAACCATCCCCCGTGGAAACGGTCGGGATTTCCGTCGCCGCGGATGGGCAAAAATCAAATCGGCGGATGTCAGGGAGGGCGAGGGGGAAACGGGGGGGTGGCAACCGCAGCGGACGAGTGCACCTGGCGGCCCGATCGCCGCTCAAGCCAACATGGCTGCACGGAAAGCCATAGGAGGAGGAGAAGGAGGAGGACGAGGAGGAGGAGGACGAGGAGGAGGAGGCGGAGGAGGAGGCGGAGGAGGAGGAGGCGGAGGAGGAGGAGGAGGAGCAGGAGCAGGAGGAGGAGGAGGAGGAGGAGGAGGAGGAGGAGGAGGAGGAGGAGGAGGAGGAGGAGGAGGAGGAGGCAGGGGTGTGACGACAGGAAGAGTAGTCTTGGCCTGGGATGGAGGAGCTGCGCTCCAATCTTGCACTTTCCTCAGGTCGCGACCTAGAAGACGCTGCAGCTCACTAGTGAGCTGCTAGAGCTGTTGCAGCGTCCAGCAAGGGGGCAGAGGAGGAAGACAGCGAGCTCGCTGGGAGGGTACGGCCGTGCCAACCCCGCTCAAGGAGAGGAGGGAGGGGCAGAAACTGGAGGATGAAGGGGCTGCCATACCATTGGTAGCTCTCAGGGGCGCAGGAACACCACTGGTAGGGATTGAAGGCGCCCCGAAGTGCGGTCCACTGCCTCCAGCACATTTGGAAATTGACCCACCTAGTCTCGTACCTGAAGTGTCAGTAGAACCACCAGGCTCAGGATGCGGAGCTCGATACACAGGATTCCCACTCTATGAACTGTCAGCAGAGCCTCCCGCCAAATATTGTGGACTCCCGAGGAGCTGGCCATGACCTCCAGTGCAATCGGAAACACGCCCACCCAGTCTCGTACCTGATCTGTCAGATGAACCACCAGACTCAAGATGCGAAAATCAACGAACAGGATCCACACGCCATCCTCATCCTCCTCCTCCCTCCGTCCATTCCCAGTTCCTCCTCCCTCCTCCCTCCTCCCGCCCCCTCCTCCTCCTCCTCCTCCTCCTCCTCCTCCTCCTTCTCACCCCTCTACCCTCCCCTCCTGGGGGAGCAAGAAGAGCATCAATGATCCTCCGACGGGGGACGCGGATGCGGGGAACCTATCTGGGTGCCACTGCTGAAGAAGCACCAGGCTCTTGCACAAACAAAGAAGGAGCAAAACTCCGACGGGCTCCCAACGGCTGCGTGTCAACGATCCTCTTCGTCCCTCCCGCGCCGCCGCAACTGCTCGTCCCCACCCCCCACCCTCCTCCCTGGAGTCCCATCCGCGGGCCTGGCCGGGTCGCGGGCACAGCCGGCAACTGCACTGGGTGCGTCGTCCTGCCGCGGAGGGGGGGAGCGAGGAGTCAGGGGAGTGGGGGAGGGGGAGCGCGAGGAGGGAGGGGGAGCGAGGAGGAGGGATGGGGGGGAGGATGAGGATGAGGATAAGGACGAAGATAAGGTGGACACCCGCTGCAATGATCAGCTGTTGCCAGGGCTGCGGCAGACGGGAGGAGGAGGAGGAGGAGGAGGAGGAGGAGGAGGAGGAGGAGGAGGAGGAGGAGGAGGAGGAGGAGGAGGAGGAGGAGGGGTGATGAGAGAGTAGGAGGGTGACGGAGGGAGGGGGGAGGGAGGGATGAGGGGATGGGGAGGATGGAGGCGGAGGAGGGGACGGAGACCGAGGAGAAGGAGGTGGGGCGGGGGAGGGATGAAGAGGAGCGGGAGGGAGGGAAGAGACGACGTATCCAGGCGAGGGGCGGAGGTAGAAGGAGGAGGATGAGTTGGAGGAGTAGGAGTAGGAGTAGGAGTAGGAGCAGGAGCAGGACTAGGAGTAGGAGTAGGAGGAAGATAATGAGAAGGGGAGGGGAGGATACGGGGGAGAGATGGTGATTGGATGATGACGATGCTGCTGCTGCTGATGATGATGCTGATGATGATGGTGACGCTGCTGGTGATGATGCTGATGCTGCTGATGATGCTGATACTGATGATGATGCTGATGCTGCTGCTGATGATGACGATGCTGTTGTGGAGGATGATGATGATGAGGATGATGCTGATAACGACAGCGATGCTGCTGATGATGATTATTATGTTGATGCTGATGATGATGGTGACGCTGCTGGTGATGATGACAATGCTGATGCTGCTGGTGATGATGATGACGATGCTGACAATGCCGATGCCGATACCGATGCTGATGCGGTTGCTAATGGTGATGATTCTTATGATGATGGCTATGATGATGAAACTGATGCTGTTGCTGATAATGATGACGATGGTGATGATGCTAATGATGATGGTGCTGCTGCTGCTGCTGCTGCTGCTGAGGATGATGATGACGATGAGGGTGATGATGGTGATGGTGATGGTGATGGTGATGATTATGATGATGCTGATGATGATGATGTGGATGATGATGGTAATGATGATGGCGATGATGAAGATCATGATGCTGCTGATGAGGGTGATGACAAAGAAAGGTTGGGATGCGGAGGAGGGAACGCCCGTACCAGGAGGGGTTTGGGGTGGAGGCGGACGAGGGACGAGGAGGAGGAGCAAGCGCCCCTCGAAAGTACACAGGAGAAGGCCAGGAAAGCCCGTAGTGATTCGCGAACGCCTGCCAGTTCCAATGCTGCCCCAAATGGAGGGTGGCCCATGTGAGTCGCGGGCACGAGTCCGTCGCTGCTGGACATTTCAAACCTGCAATGTTACAAAGCGTGCTGGGCTTGACGTTTTCATCTCCTCCCCTTACTCCCAGAGTGCTGATGCGATCGCCGTGCAGGAGTCGCTGCTGGACATTTCAACCCTGCAATGTTACAAGGCGTGCTGGGCTTGACGTTTCCTCTCCTCCCCTCACTCCCAAAATGCTGATGCGATCGCCGTGCAGAAATCGCACACTGTCGATACTGATGCGTGTGAAGCCGCGTTGCGTGCCCAGTGTCGACGTGCTCGTTTCTATCCAGCTGTTTCTACTGGCAGTGGGGGAACCTCGGGAGGACTCTTGATTGCTACCTCTAAACGTGTCGGCCTGTCTAGGGTTGAGGATTTCCTGAACTTTTCGAGCCTGGACGTGTTGGGATGTTGCATCTTGGAGGTGTTCTTTCCAGGGGGAGTTTTGATCGCCGGCATCTACTTGCGTCATAATTTTGGTCTTTCCCAGAAGCATTTGCGAATTCTGTGATCTCGGGGCCCAGCCTGAACCTATTGGAACGTCTTATGTTCTAACGGGGGACTTTAACCTGGAGCCCAGCGCGTTGGAATACAGTGGGTGGTGCTCCACCCTGGATGCTATAGTCGTTGCTACTGAAGAAGGGGCGTGCCGTGTTGTTGATCGTGTGCTTGATTCTATTTCGTTGTCAACAGTGACCTCGCAGCGGGAGCCTGGCCATCTGTGCTCTGCGACGTGGCCACGGCGCCGCACCGCCCTGTGCAGGTTAAGCTTGCCCGTGCGAAGACTCGTGCTGGGTCAGGGTCGCGAAGGTGCCGAACTGTTTCCCCACTGAGGTCCCTGCGGGTCCCAGGAATGAGCCCGCTGTTGGGCGATGGAATCGTGCTATGGCGAACCTGCAGTCAAGGGACATGGCGGCGTCTCGGGAGTCCTTTGTCCAGGCAGCGGAGCTTCAGTTGCTCGAGGCTTACCAGATTGCTGATGATGTTGCTCAGAGTTCTTCAGGACTTCAAAGCCCGATCAAATTTGTCTGTAGCGCTCCTGGACGACCTAGGTCGTCAGCGTTTCAGAGGGTCAACCCGATTGCCACTTGGTGGCGCTCTGTTGGTGCCCTTTTCTATGGGTTCGCAAAAACGCGCAACGTATCCAAATTTATCCAACTTTGCCGGACTGCCCGACGCCTTCAAAAATCTAAGCATGTGGTAAGTGAATATACCGTCTGCTTCTGCCGCATGCTCGTCATGCTCACTCATCCCAATGTGGACTACTCCCTCGCCGCCTGCCTCTCCACTTGCGTGCGAACATGCCGTGACTCTGCGCCGTAATTGTGCTAATCAGAAGAAGATGGGATGGGAGCAGCGGGCCAATAATAAATATGTCAACGGAGCTGCTGCGCTTTTTCGCTATGCACACCTTCCTGGTGCCTGGCAACCTTCCTCTGTGGTGCAGTTCGCGCCAGCCCACAACATGCAGGGGAATTCTGTTCCCGAGGCTGAGTGGAAGAAATGGTGGCGGGTTGGATCCAATGACCCTCCCCTCCAATGGCCCGAGGACCTGGGTGAAAGACCCCCTCCCCCCCAACCCTGGAACATCTCAAGAAGGTCCTGAGAACGTTCCCTGTGGGGACTGGATGTGGATTTGATCAGTTGCCACCGCGTCAGCTTATAAGACTCCCTGATGGAGCCCTCGGGGTCTTCTGCACACTCATCTCGGCGATAGAGCACCAGGTCGAGTGGCCGCCCATGGCTGCCCGAATGGTTTTCATGTTGAAGCGACTTGGAGGAATTCGCCCTCGGGGCCTACTCCACTGCCCGCGCCATGTCCAAGCGCGACTTAGGCGTGATGCCTGACAGCGATGACAGAAGAGCAACTATCAATACTGGTGGGCCATTCGCGGAAAGTCGTCGGAGCTCTTGGTTCGACTGCAGGCTGGTTGGGCTGAGTACCATACCGACTCGGGCGGTGACTCAACTTCCATGCTCGTCGACTTAAATAAAGTTGTCGAACTCGTTCGGCGCTCGCACTTGATCGTCGTGGCCGAAAGGGCTGGTTTCTCCCCTT